AATAAATAAATAAAGGGTTGAGAATGGCTGCTCTAAAGGGACAAAGTGTTGGACAGAGAGCTGTTATCCCTGCTGGATCATAGCCAGGCTATCAAGGCTAACATTCTAAGCTGTTGAACAGAGCCAAAGAGATCCATAATAGCTTAATAAGCTCTGTTTGGCATTGCCCTGCACACTTAGGTTCTCTGTGTTCCAGCCTTTTTATTGGAAACAGCCACCGTCTTGTTTCTCCTCTCCCTCCCCTAAGCTGTTCTTTCAGAAGGGAAGATGCTGCAGGAAAGAAGGCTGGTGACAGATGCTGGTTTAACAGCAGCTTTGAGAATCAACCAAATGAGAGATTAAAGGATTTCTTTCAAAAGGCTGCCTGTAATTAACAGCCAGTCAGTATGCTCTGCTGCCAACTTCTGGAGAACTGGTAGCAAAAATATAAAGCACTGGGCAGGTTAAAATGCAGAGGTGACAAGGCAGACATGGGCTGTTAGCACACTGCAAGCAAATCAGCCTGCAAGAATAAGGCATGCACTCTGAAGTTCTTCATGACTAAACCTTCGGCCTCAAAACAAATAAACTAAGAGGCAGCAAAATAAACAACAGACCTATTGGTCCAGGGAGCTGAATAAATAAGGCAATTTAGTTAGGTGGGGAAGAAAGACTTCCCTGCGACAATTTATATCCTATTGACAGTAGAGGGTGGCTTCACACTTTGAAGGCTCCAATCCCCAACAGCATTTAATTCAGCAGTGTTTCATCTGCCAGGTGTCATCCCATATGTTCAGTAAACCTTACAGCAGTGCTAAAAGGGAGGCCAATATTATCCACAAACTGCAGGGCAAGAAAACCAAGAGTAGTAGCTAGTCTAATGAATCAACAGTTCAGATGAAATTTGAAGTAAGGATTGTCCTGCTCATTCTTAGCTGGGACAGGACTTTAAAAACTTTTATTTCTGTTTTTTAAAAAATGTGCCAGAAATATCTTAGTGAATTGGGTGGAAACTAGCAGGATTTTAATCAGATAGTGTAAGTAAAAATCTCAAATATCTGAGCAGGGGGCACGATTCCTTGGGATCTGCTTCTGTAACAATGTCATCACACTGCGCAAGAGGACTTCCGTATTCTTTCACGTGTCCCATTCATTTCAAGTGGGACTTACCACGGAGTCCATGTTGGAACCGGCAGTCAAGACACTTTTCTGATTCATCACTTAAGGCTTATTTCGTGCACCAGCTTCTCCCCCCAACCCCAAGGAGCAAGAGATGCTACTCATATTACAGGACATTGTGGTACAGAAAATAAACTAGTAAGTCTTACTAAGGTCATATGCATATCCTTCTATGGCGCCATGTTAGGCACTTGTTTGGTTAGAGATGTTGCAAAATCCTGAGCCTTTCTCTCACCCAGCATTGGCAGCACATGGGAAGAGTCTTGGTGAGACAGAAATTCCAATTGTTTTTGACATGCACATTACAGCAGGCATATTATGCAAAACAATAGAAAACAGAACAAAAACTAAGGGGGTACCACTATGTAATATGCAGCCTTTATGTCTATGCAATCTCACGAATTCTGCAGCAGCCCAGGAGAGCAAAATGTGAAATAAAACTTAAAGCAGCTTTGGCTCACAGCAAATTAGAAAATAGAATCTTACATTGTACCTGGCCACATTAAATTATTCCTTTTGAAGTATTTTAGGGAGCACATGCAAAAGATGGCAATTGCAATCTACTTATTGCATTCTTGTTCTGCTCTTCCTTCAAGCCATTTAGGATGGTTACAAGGAAAGTATTAAGAGCAGCATGTCAACCTCTACACAACATAGATTTGACTACAGCTTGATACAGCATGAAAAATCATGAAGAAATTGGGGTGTCCTGAGAACTTCACAAATATCCTATGAGAAATCCATGGTATGCAAGCTCCTGTAATTGACATCTCTGATCCTTTCCCCATTATAAACAGGGTTAAAAAAAGGCTGTTTTCTTGCTTCAACTTTTATGTTTTCTGCGATGCTCTAGGATGCCTACAAGGATGAAAATGCTTGTGTTAGCCTTCAATAATGTAAGGTGTGTGCGTGTTTGGTCTGGATAAGGTGAAGAACCAGAGAGAGAGTTAGGACACAAAGATGGAGACCAACAAAACCCAGAGAACTATGAGACTTCGTATTTCTGGCTATAAGCCCTCATTGTGAGAAATCCAACTCTTGAACTGAACGTTTTGAACTATGCTTTCAGTAAGTTGACAAAAACCATCTGCTGCTGAGGGAGTAGAGCAAAGGGGAGTAAGCAGGCCCTGGTACAGGGGTGGGCAATTAATTTCTACAGGAGGGGCACATGAAAAATCTGAACTGTGCTCGGGGGCCAAACCAACTTTACTTAAAAATAAAATGAAACAGTGATGTTATGATTGTTTTTATTTTAAACTTGTTAATCTTCACAAATACTGAAGAGGTTTTTTGCGGTATGTTTAAGCAACTGATCAACTTTAGACAAAAAACTATAAATGGTTTTGATGTTCAAAACTGTCTGCGGGCCAGACAGGAGCGGCTTGCAGGCCGTATGTGGCCCTTGGGACGCACTTTGCCCAGGTCTGTACGAGGATCCTCCTGAGCAAGCAGATTCCACACTGGTCCACTAAGTGATGGAAGACACATTAAGCATTCCATACTTCACAATAAGTGATAAGGAGCATATATCTAGGGGGAAACAAAGAAACATCTAATGCACATGCCCAGCTAGCAACCTGCCTAAAAGGAATATAAAAAGAGGGGTCTGGGCAACCATAATTTGCTGAGACCAAAAAGCTTTTTGAACTACTTTCTTTGGAACTTGGACAATGCGAATAAAGAATTATTCTCTCTTTGGTGAGTATGTATGTAGTGTGAATGTGTTGAATGCATGAAACCCCATTTATTAGAATTGTAATCAGTAAGTAATAAAGTATATTCATTTTGCATTTTTAAATGCGTCTTGTGAGGTCCTTTGCTGTTTAATATTCTTCTTCTTGGGATACAGAAGATCTAGTAGTCACCCTTTTGTGACAATATCACATGGATGGGAAAGTGTTCAATCAGCAGTTTCTACAGGCCATAACTAAAATCTCATTTTGCAACATGTGTAAGCTTCTATTCGCCGATGATTGCACATTAAATGCAACCATACTTTCGAATATGTAAATAAATCTTGATCTGTTTTCCTCTGCCCTGCAACAATTTTGGCCTAAAGATCAGTAAGTATAATACAGTGATAATGTATCAGCCTGCTCCAGGTGAAGGTATATGAACACCTCCTTACTGAAATAGGTAAGTTTACATACCTTGATGGCAGTATCTCCTGATGCATTCCCATTGATGAAGTGACCCGATGAATCTCCAAAGTCAACACTGTCTTTGGAAAACTGATCTTCTGTGTGGAATTGACATGGAATCAAGCTGTTGCTGAAGATGTATAAAACTGTTGTTTTATCCTCCCTACTTTGTGGAGTGGAGGCATGGATTATCTATCAATGCCATGCAAAAGATTGCAATCATTTTCATCTTACCTGTATTTGGAGAATTCTAAACATCAAAAGGCAGTCTCTGACACTGAAGTCTTGGAGCAAACACACATGAAAAGCATCTTTACAATTTTGAAACAATGACAACTTTAGTGGGCTGTCCACATTCTCAAAATGTTGGCCAACTGTCTCCCAAAACAGATCTTCTATGGAAAACTTGTTGCAGATGCTTGATTGCATGATGGACAAAAGAAATAACTCAAGTATACACTGAAGACATGAAAGATTTTAGTATTGACCATGTCAACTGGGCAGCTGTCATTCAAAACCAAAGCACTTGGTGAAATGCTATCAAACAAGGGGTTAAAGATTCAAAAGAAAAAGAATCAAGGATGTAGAGGAAAAGTGGAGAAGGATGTGATTTCTTGACAGCCCAACATGCCTAGGATCAGCTAATCTGCCCCTATTGTGTCTGTATCTTCCAGGCTTGTTTGGGCCAGTTAATGACTTTCTTTGTTCACCCCCTCCTCACCAAATGGTGAATCTGATGAAGATGGTCATCTTCGAAAATGAAGGCTGAACTTCCATTACATTCTTAATAAGCCCTTCCTCCAAGGCATTCATATGGTCTTCCTCCAAGGCATTGGGAATGAGAGTACAGCCCTTAAACCACTCTACCATGTTCTCATTTAGGTTAGGCTAATAGGTGGTGTGATGGATACATGGTCACTCAGTAAGCTTTCTGTCTAGGCCACAACCTATAACACCATGCTACCTATTTCAGAAAAGCACTGCCTTTCAGAGAAAAGACAAGAGATGAACCATAGACAGCTGGGCTCCTTAAAGTAAGAAGGATAAACTTTAAAAACAGTGAGAGCTGTTGTGCCATCCAGTCTTCTATTTAAACTACTGCAACTGAAAACAGGAACTAGATTTCCATAGGATCAGCCCATGAGATTTGCAAAAACAAAACAAAACACTAAGATGTTCCAAAGTGGAGGAACTATCAAACAGCTGAAGGAATGTGTCCACTATACTGGGGATCAGCACCTTGTAATAGCAACAGGAAGAAAACCTATCAAAAGAAAATTGGTGTTTGGTTTTTCAGTTCTAGCACCATAATTCTTTGATGATTCTGGAAGTTTTATTTCATGGTCCTGGCAATACTCTGATAACTTGCAAACAAATTTGCACATATCTCTTGATTTCAAAATATGAAAGACCAAAGCACTTTGACATTTAGGAGAACGAGGCACTTACATACATGAAAGCTCCACGTGCCTTGCAGTACACGGGACTCTAGCCTACTACGGCAATGAGATGTAACTGCTACAGGCCTGGCCTGCAGTGAGTAACCAGAGTGAAATCAAGAGGTCTGAGCCCATTGTAAGGCAGATATAATCTGTATTATTTGAGTTTTTTTTTTCAATTGAAGAACAAAAATACAAGAAAGGCAAGCAGCTTTGGAATGTAACAATTTATTGGGGTCCATCTTTTTAACTCCCCATTTCTGGCATTGATACAATACTCAAGAGCAGCAGAAAGAACAAAATGTACAAGGATACGAGAGTAATTAGCACCCCACCCTGCAAAACCTGGAGCAAGCCATTTTCCTGATGGAAATGCCAGTGGGAGGGGTGATTAAATCACCCACCTCACAACACTTCCTATCCATCCAATCTAGATAGTTTAGCCAGCTGAGAACTGGATTTAAAAAGCAACCAAGCAAATGCAAACACTATATTTAAAAATGAAGAATTATAAGACAATAATAATAATAGATAACATTTCATTCGTGCACAATTATTTCATTAAATGCATATTTTCCAAAATAAAAAAGTTACCAGATATATATTTAGCTATTGGTTTTAAAGCCTATTTTGTATGCCATGAGGCAAGAACACAGAAACTTCAACTCACACTTTTACAGGATTTAGAACGAGGCCTCAACTTTGCAAAAATTGAATGCACAGGCTTCTAATGAAGCACTCAAATATCTGAGTTTTGAAAGGCCAAACTGAGTACCCCAGTTGCCTTGAAAAACACTCATATGTTAAAAGGGGCCACAAATATTCATAAATTATTTGAGGAATCATCATCAGAACTTTCAGTGTTGAGGCCTGATGTTGGCAAGTATAAATGGTGGACGCAAAATGAGGAGCAAGCACCAATTCTGTACCTCCTTGCAATTATCTATATTAAAATGGCAGGCTTTTCTTCCAGAGAACTGACAAAAGACAACAACATGATATATTAAGTGGTTTTGGGATAGACCCAAAGGTTTTTGGGTAGAAAAGTATCTAGAACTTCACCAAAGTCATTGTTAGATATATTTATCTCAAGGTGTAACAAGTAGCTATCATGAAGCACATTTGAATTCCTTAGGAATCCCAATTCGTCTTAGAAAATATTCAGAGAACATTCACCCAGCTCAGTGTCTTCTTGCTTTTTTATATTTGCACTGCCTTTCCCATTTTAGATCCTATGACTAAAATGTATCCTCTGAATTAAAACCACCTCATTACCACCAGATTAAAGGGCTGCATTACCACTTAAAGGCCCTATGAACACCACAGAGCAATCTACCACTCATTTCATAGTATACTTACAGCAGTTTCCATAGGTCAGATCCTTTACTACAATATTTGCCTTAATGGAAAAGCACCATTGCAGCAGCGCTGATGGCTGCTTCACAGATACTGATACAACTTCAGAGAGCTTCTTCCTAGATAATGCATGAATGTTACCCCATTCTGAAATACATTTAATTTTGAAGAAACGGCCACTGAAAGATTTGATGTAAGAGGTTCAGCAGAACTGTGCTGCCCTCTGAGTAAATATTCTCTGCTATACTATTTAATGACACAGACTGATTCCTGCAAGTCATTACTGTGCCTGGAAACATTGCATGTAATAGCTGTTTCTCCAAGAGCCTGAAAGAAACAACACACATAAGAGGTGAGGCAAACAATAAGGGGGTTAAAATGGCTCATGCTAGAGACCATGGTATGAGACTACTTAAATTTTAAAGCATGTGCTTATAATTATTTTTTAAGTGCTATGCAAAACAGGAATGGGTTTCTAGCTTGTTGGAATCAGGAAGTGAATGAATTTGACAAAAAGAAAAATTTAAATTAATCTGCAAAATATCTCCATCTACAAAGCATAGTTTACTATTTACTGTAAAGAATCTTTCGGATTCTGTATTCTTTCATCTTCCCCTACTTCTCCCTCCATCTATTCATTCTGTTCTACACACACCCTTTTCACCCAGAGAATATAACTCTGCCTTGTGCTTATTAGCGGCATCTCCTTTTTCTTTAGCAGCTGAGGCAGGATTGTTTCTTCCACCCTGAAATGCAAGGAACGTAATGCCCATTCAGGTGTTCTCTGAATTTATTCAGGGACAGTGCTTGATATGGGATGTCCCTAAGGGACAAGAAATAATTTGGACCTTAACATCTCTTAAGTGTATTTCTTCCTTAACAAGAAAAGAACTGTTGCAATCCCCAGACAGTTTTATTTTGTGATATAAAAAAGGAGGAAATACAGCCAAGAAAAAAAAAATGCAATACAGTATTCTGTTCATTCCACTCAGCATTTGTGAAATACAGAACACAGCCAAGCAATGTCAAGCAAATCAACAAGATCAACCTGAGCATTATAGTCTTTCAATATTCTTATTACAATTGGGCAAACTGATCTTCAGCCCAGGGAATAAAAAATTAGTTTTGTTCTCAAACTGTGTCCTATTATGTATGTACCATCTCTAAGAGCCACCAATGGAGGCAGCAGTAGTATATAGACTAACTACTTGCCTAATCCCTCTGAGTTTTCATGAACCAACCCTGAGATGAAGTATAGAAGGAAACTCTTCTTTGTCACAACATATATCTTAACGAAGATTGGGTGTATTTGGTGGTTCAGAAGATCTATCCAACTGAAACACTGCAATCCAAACCTTACATTCCTGTGCAGGATGCCTAAGCAATGCAAGTTAAGTCCACCTATAGCGTATTTATATATTTTTAAATATACTTTGTATTCTATTTCTGCTAGTCACCAGGAGGTGCAAGTGAAACTATGCTGGACAATGACATCATGGCACTAATACAGGAAAACCACTGTCCATCACAATAGCCGGGCAGAAATAGATAGACAAAGGGATTGGTTTAGCTCTATATGCTGTAAATATGTTATGGATTAACTATTCAGAACCCCTGATAAGCTAAATGAATAGGAAGCAATATAGCTCTTGAGCGCAGCAAGAGAGTGCAGGTGACAGGGAACAAAAGACAGTCAAGGTAGCTATAGTTGCAGCAATCTGGGGATGAAAGCCACAAAGGGAAGAATATTCCCACTTCAAGCTTCATTTTTGTGAGTCTTCAAAACCTTAACTTGTTCAAAGCTACTACTGGTCTTGGTGAAATATTAACAGGGAATACAACTAGAGCTGTTTTTAAGCACTGAGAACTGCTTTCACAACAGCAGCTCTTCACCCACCCTCTTAACACATACATTTAATCCCTATTTTGGCCTGGGAAACAGGAGATCCTCAAAAGGAAGCTAAGCAGTTTGCAGGTCACAGCATTTAGGCATTCCTTATTCTCAACAATGTGATTACATTACTGGCCCACACTGCCTTTGTTTAATACAAAGCACCATTGTTGGTTAAATGGAGGATTATCTATATATACACAGTACATATACTTATAATGAGAAAAAAAATCCTAGCTCTTACATTATTAGTGGATAGTCAAAAATGCAGCAAAGCAGGCAACAGTGAAGTACAGTGTAAACCAGGTAAAACAGGACAGGACCTCAGGCACAAGGGGGTGAGGAAGAACAGTGCCATGATGGCTCACACAGAAGTGTTCTGAATTTGAACGGCTTTCCATACTGCTTTCCTCCCTTGCCCAAGCTCCATCAAGGATCCTTGATGAACTGGGAACATGGGCCTAACAATTCCCCTGTGGAGTCAATATCTGCTATAAGAAAAACATTATCTTTTTTGCTGTTATCCCTGCTTCCTTCCTCTTCCCCCAAAATAGTTCGCTCACACAGCCAGTCCACATGAAGGACTAAGTGCATATCAAGTTGCAAAGCAACAGAACTTTTGACTCAACATGAAAAGCCACGCATGGGTCTTTGTTGTCTAAACAGCACCCACTTTTAATGGAGGTAGAGCTACATATAGCATCCCCATCTTCATCCTTGGGGGACTGAGTTACTGAACAACAAATAGGAATGTCTTTCCTGAGATGGGAAGTGCACTGTTTCAGTGGCTCACTCAAAACCACAAGTCTGGCTTATTGTTCTCTTACACTTCCCTATCACTATCCACTCCCTGTGCATACGACCATAACAATCAAGAATGAATTATGAAGTATAGGTTTGCACGTACTGAAACACAGGATGGAAGTCCCTCTGAGGAAGGAGATCACTGCTCACATGATATGAGTCAATATTATGGGGGAAAGGGAGCCTTCTTGAGTGAACAGATTTTAAAAAATCAGTTCTCTGAACGATGCAAGCACATAGCTAAACATAGAGCTCATTTCTCAGAAATAAATCTAATACCTTTTCCTAAACAAGTGCCAAACTTCCATTTTAGCTTTGCCTTGCCACTGGTTACTACAATTAAGAACAGGGAAGCAAAGGTGCAATATTGCATGCAAGAGATAAAAATAAAAGCTACTTCCACAGATCCAAAAGAACACTGTTTACAGAGTAGCATGACACAATCTTACTCCAATAAAATCAGGAATCCTTCATCCCCTTGGTTCACTGTAGGCCAGGTACATCAACCCATCCTACACTTGTTAGTAATTTTATGGACAGTCTTAGCCCCAACTATCACATTGGTGAACTCCATACTAGGCTACACAGTATGTGGGTACTCGCCTTTCATGACACTTCCTACAAAATCTAGGCTACACATTAGATCTGGAAGGTCACTTTTGCTCCCTTCATCTGCCTTCCCTCAGGACTCAGAATGAAAGCAAATATTACCATCTAGTTTGTCTTAAAGGGTGCTTGTCCTTCCCAGAAAGGTCCTGATGATTTCTCCTGTTTTAGGAAAGCTGTTCTGAGCACATGAGATGGGGGGGGGGACATAGAATGAATTTGGTTAATTACATGAAATTTTAAAATGTCACCCCAGGATGCTCTGAAACTGAAATGGTAAGGAATGAGGGGGAAATTTTCTCAGCTTCTAAGATCTTGTTTCCTTCACACTTGACTAACATTCATTTCTTTGCTAAGGATCCTAGATCTTTCTGAACAGTCACAAAACAACATGTCCTATTCAGTTCAGTAGGTATCACCTCAGTAGGTCATCTTGGGGACTAGGCTAACTTGTACAACAGGTTAATAACAGAATACCACACAGTCTATCTGGCAAAGACTTGTCAGAAAAGGCTAAACTCTGGTGCTATCTTATCCATGGCGAAAGGAAAGAAGGCATTCTCTCCCTACTTCAAGGTAATAAAGAAAAATATTTTTCTAGGATATGGATTTGCTTCCACCAGCTGCTGCTCTTTTCACACTTTGATTTTTCCTACCCAGTCTGAATTATCTGAACACTGTTCTCTCTAACACACACAAATACTAAAAATACTCTCTTCTTTAAAGACCAGCTAATATCACTACAGTTTGTGCAATCACTGCATTTAATATTTTTTAAATTCTCTATCCTCTTCTCTCTGTAAAAATCTCATTACCCTTTTTAAAAAAACTTTTCCTTTTTTCTTTTTTTTTGCAAAACTAGTCTTTCCTTTCCTCCCCCTCCCCCATTTTCATCAAACACTCCTGTCTAAGAACAAAAAGGACCAAAAAACATGGCACAGACACAAATAATAATCCCTCCTCCCTCATTCAAATGCCATCCTCAATGAAAATGTGTCTATAGAATGTCTTTTATCCTCTTAATCACAACAAAGAATTGATAAGATTCAAGGCAATGAAGAATAGGTCAACCATTAAGTAGTTCTCCATCACCCTCTAGTGGCTAAATTGTGTCAGAGGCCAGGGCTGCCACTAATCAATATAAATTTGCTTCCTGAGAGTGCATGCCAAACAAGTGGGAAAGTTCCATGACAGGAAACAACACCGCCTACATTCCAAGGATGTACACCTTTAACATCCTCTCCCTTTAACAACAGTTCCTTCTGGATTTGTGTTGGGGAAATATTTAAATCCTTGGGAGAAAATGAGCTACTTAGCCAGTATAATCCTAACTCCCCAGTAAGTTCTTCAGGGGAAGGAGCTGCCAAAATGAGTGGTTGATATCACAACCAAGTGACCAGGCTTGTCTGTGCATCAGAGTGGCTCTTGATGCTATGCAAACTCAAATCTCTGTGAAACAGTTCCTCCAGTCCACAACCCAAGCCTGGGCTTCTTAAGAGATGAAGCTGTAAGGAGACAGAAGGGACAACACGTCTGCAACCAGCCACCAAGTACAACATCAGACTCTGCTCCACTCAACTGGCTACTGTGTGTCAACCAGAATGGCTTTGCTGTCAACTTTTCTCCTCCTCCCCGAGGAAACCCTTTGGGGTACCTCCAGATGAAAAATCTGAGTGTTGGCTGTAATTGAATCAGCACCCACCAGCTATGAGCCAGGTCGAGGTTTTCAATGCCACTCTGATGATTACCATTCCAAGTAGACCAAAGTATCAACAATGTGGCACACCACCAGTCCTCATCTGCACACAACTTAAGATGCTATAGTACAATTTGTCTGATGCCACTTCCTATATTGGCACCACAGCAATGGAGGAGCTGTTATTTGAACACACACTTTGGATTCAGAAACAGATGCTTGCAATTTGAGTCCCACTGGCCTGAGGTAAGTGGGTGACGTGTGTCCCTCAAGATGTGGTTGGACTCCAGTTAGTCACATTCCTTGTCACTGGCTATGCTGGCAAAAGCCATTGGGAACTGGAGGTCAGCAAGAGGGCTGCAATTTGCCCAGCCATAGTCTAAGGCTTTAATCCACTCCACATTCCGGCTGCTTCACAGATTATAGCAAAAATAAATTCCTATTTGTTCATTATGTATCATACTAGAACACAAAAATACTGAGGAAGCTGCACATCTAAAGACACGTGGTAAATATACACTCTGGAATAATGGCAAAAATATACCTCCTGGGCATGCATTTAAAGTTTTACTGCCCAGAAAAGAGGTATGCCTCTCTTACCTTCATGCTGAAGGGGTAATAAAAAACCGCTGTGCAATTGTCCTTACCATAATGTGTGAAGCTGTCCTCTGTACACCCCCAACCCACTACTTCTGGTAAGTGGAGATCTTGTTGTTTCTGCTGGAAAAAAATCCAACAAACCTAGTGCCCTGACCTAGCCTTCTTCTGTCACTGACAGAACAGACAAACAAACAAGTCAACCTGATGCCCTTGGAGGTACTTTATATTAAGCCAGACAGCTTCTAAAAGACTACAATTTTGCACAACATATTTAAGGAAGGCAAATGCCCTACTCAGTGGAAACTCACAGAAACCAAGGTGACAAAAAATAAGCCACTGATGGGGGAAGGACAAATAAGCCAAGGGAACATGTGCTACAATCATAGAACATTTTCCTATTAAAATTCCCTTTCAAACCGCCCATCAACCTTTTTTTAAATATTAGACAAAATTCAAACCAAAATGCCACACAAACATACCCAGCAATCTTAAAACACGATTGACTAGTATGCACCCACCCATTATAATAGTTCCTCTGTTGCAGCTTCATAAAATATTTCTTCTATTTTTTCTCCTTTAAAGTCTCTTTAATACAAGTCTCCCTGCTGAACCCGTTATACATCTCTACCCGCACCCAGCCCACCCACCTTTGAAGCTACAGCCATTAAAACTAATTCCCATGAAAAAAAGCCTCCCACTTTTTCTGAGGCAAAGCAATGATACAGTTTTACTTAACTCATAAAAACAACAAAGAGCTATTCCAAAGCATGCACCTGTGGAATTACAGAAAGCCTTGGACTCAAACATCAGTGGGAGGCATGTGAAGGTTCATAACCCTGCACACCGTCTAGATTTCACTGGTTTTGAAAGAGTTTTGTAAGAAGACACAAAAGGTATTGCATGGTAAGATAAAGGAATAGCAACATTTTGAATCTCATGTCTTAGATACGGACTACACCCAAGCTGTCACAGACAATCACACAGTTTAACATTACACATTTTGATTTTGGTAGGCATCTCTACATACAGACACTCATATTTAAGATTATTAATAAGGTATTACTACACATCATCTCTCTATCCTGTACTTGGCAAAGTCCTGGTGTCTTATTAAGCAAGATAAAGTCAAGTAGAACTTTGCAAGCCAATGAAGAAAGGTGGGGCAGCTTACAAAACAAAAGGGAGGAGTCCTTCCTAATGTAAGAGACTAGGGTCAAAGCACCTCACTTTAAGAAAAAAACTCTCAGTCAAGGATTGAAAACCACAGTAATTGCAGCACCAACCTTTACATGTACTGATAAATAATTAACTCAAGGTAAAGAACAAGTAAATCAAACAAAAATGAAAACGAAAGTACACAAAGCAAGCCCTTGAAAGGTAGAAAGTTGTTAACAGGAATACAGGAAAGAGAGATGCCATTAAAAATTGGATTTAGTCATTTCAGTGACAGTGTAGCATGCAGACAAGCCCTTAGAATTATTACCTCAAGCGTACCCCTTCCCCCACAGGGTAACAAAGTTTACAAACAGAATGACAGGCAACAGTATACACCACACACACACACACACACAGGTGCCACCAGTTAACAAAACAGAGGCACACAGGAGGGGGAAGAGAAGGTTGCAACAAGGCTGGAACATAATATGAAGCAGAAGCTTGTAGAAATGGTTTTACTTATGCTGTGAACCCTGGATATCAGCTGCAGATGAGTTCATGATTATTAACACTATGGGTGGTGGAAGGAGATAGTGAAAATAGCCACATTTTTAACTTGCTTTCAAGGCAAGATGTTAAAGGTTTCAACTGGAATAATTTCATGAAAAGCAAGGTGCTGTGGGTAAGAGGATGGGAGGGAGAGGTGAACATACGCTGTACATGCATGACACGCATACACACCAAGATCCAAGAGAAAAATATTGAAATTTTACAACAGCTTCTGAGCACCTTTGGTTGGCAACTGTAGAGGCAGCTTGAAATCCTGGGAACTGCAGATATTAATGTTGTTCTATCTTACTCACCTAGTAAGAGATGTTGATGGGGGAAATGCACACATTTTTAACCACCCCACTTTAAATGGATTTATGTTCATCAAAACAAAATAAGGCTTCATCCTTCCACACATTTCCATCACTCCCACAGTGAAGGACAGATGAGGAGTTACTCTCCTTTTCACCACTACTAGATTTCAGGAAGCAAACCCATGTGCCTCAGTGTAAAGAAGCAGAAGGAATGGCAGGCAAAGACAGGGCAAGGCTGAGAGCACAATTAAAGGGGAAGAAGCTTAAATCACACGCCCAACCCATATGCTAAGGATGTGCTTGAACCAGGACTGACAAAGACAGCTCAAGACAGATGGAAAGGGGAGAAAATGCACCCAGGCTGTTGAAAAGTGCTATCATAATAGCCAAGTTAGCACCTCTAATATTATGTAAGGTGAAAAAGTAACTGGAGCGCACCATAGGATTATAACAAATGAATCCCCCCACAATTCAGTAGCACCTAACCACAGTGATCTACTCTTTTGTTCTTACTTTTTGCCCTCAAATCTGCTTTTTCCTGTGGTATATGCAATGCTTGCCATCTTACTCAAATGACAGATGTAAGAGAAAGGTGAGAAAGATTATAATTGCAGAGAAATATAAAACAGGGAACAATGACCCTGCATATGTGTTTGGTCAAAGGACTTCCCTGTTTCATTAAATGGGATGGCAAAATATATCCATCTTCTGCTAAATATCTCCACTCAGCCACTGAAGTTCTTATTCATGGGACTCAAAAGTCAGCATGATGGAACACTTGAAAACAAAAGGGGAAAAGATGTGTCCCATCATAATCCTTAGCAGCTGTTTTGTTTGGGAATTTCAAACATATCTATTCCCATTGCTCTTCTACCATCTCAATTTCCTAGCAAAAAAGGAGAAAGAACAGATGAGAAGAAAGAGATAGGAGAAAACAGGCATTCACACCATGCATGATCTTGCAGTAGAGCCTCCCTGTCCCATCCCCCTCCCTCAACCCTAGTGAAAGAGCCTATCATTTGCCGGTGCCTCCACCACCTCCAGCTGCTGCAACCTTCTCAAAATCCTCAGCATTGCAGAATTCCTTGATGGTGACTGTTAAGAGGTTGCTGGTGACATCAGTGACCACCACATTAGAGCAAGGGGACATTTCAGGGCGCCAATCACCAGCCTCCTGCTCTGGGTCAGAAGAAGATGGAGAGGATGGCATTTGACCCCCTCCACTTCCCCCTGAAGGAGACCGCTTGCTGGTGGCTGCTGACTCAGGTGGAATTGACAGATCAAGGACCTCTGACTCACGCCAGTCAGGAATGGCAGGACTTAGTGTCTCAGGAAGCAGCTTAGGTGGGGAATCATCTGGATCAGATGAGGAGTGTGGCGCTGGTGAAGGGCAGTCAGAGGAACTGGAACTGCGTGTGTCATAGGCAGCAGAGCCCATGATCCCACATGAGGCACCTTGAGAGCCTCCTGCCTCTGTCTTCCCCTCCAAAGACGGAGTCGGAGCAGATGGCTTGTTGTACAGAGGAAAGCTTCCAAATTTCATGTGTCGGATTTGGTTGCGAAGCATGCTCTCACTGAACTTCTTGCTTTTGCCAATCACACGGTTTCGTGAGGGTATCTTGGGCCGTGCCAAGCTTCCTCCACCACTTGTTGTCTTCCCACCTTTATCAATGACCTTCAGGTTGAGAATGATTCGACTGCGTTTGGGCTCACGAGGCTTCACTTTGCGGTTGATGATGCGGACGGTCTCCGAGAAGGGAGAGACAGGGGGACGTATGCCAGTGCCTCCACCCACACCACTGTTCTGGGGATCGGGGCGTGGCAATGGGCGCCGGGACATACGGTGGCATCGCCGGATGTCCTTCTTCAGCCGGTGCACTGCAGCACTAGAGTGAAGCTTTGGTGAGGATGTGCTAGAACCAGGCTTGACAGAAAAATGTACATCCCCAATATGTAGGGCCTCCGCTTGGGCCCGAGCCTGCAGTGGATGGGGGAAAATAGAAAACACGAAGTTAGAATGGAGTACAACCAATTCTACATACCAAACTTTAAGCACTTTAAATAACAGATATTCCAAATTGAAGGAAACAAGGATTGAGCTCTGCATAAGTCTCAAACTCAAATCTATCATGTTCCAAAACACAAAATGAAATGAATAAATAGCTCAGGCTCAACTCAGTCTAAAAAGGATATTCCTGTAGACACAGAGCCCAGTCACAATATATGAAATACATGCCACACATTTTCACTTTCTGGAATTTTTTTTTTTTAAAAAAATCATACCACATTTTTTTTTCCAGAATAAAAGTCCTTTTTGTAAGGTATGCTTATTATCCAGCTTTGTGGTTACATTGCTATTGCTGAGAATATTTAAACAGAAAAATAAACTGCAGAACAAGTTAGAAACAACCAAAACATCAGCTATATGTCATTATGGAAAGGAGCTTTTAAAAAAAGATAACTAATTTTGTCTGTACACAGAGCTAGCACGTATTGTGTCTTCAAATGACTTCCACCAGAACATTACAGCACTTCCTGAGAGGAAAAGCCACCAACTAGGATAGCAACAGTGTAATTAATCATATTTCAAAAAAGCTTTCAAGCAGATCCTACTTTACAGTATCAAAAAGTGATTCCTTCTATGTATGAGAATAAAAATCTGTTAAATACACTGTTGAGCTTAGAAAATGAGTAAATAGGGACACAGTATTTAACAAAATGATCAGTATAATGATCCATTTAATTCTCAAAGAACAATTATTACACAATTTCTATTATGTCTTCTAGTTCTCACGGAGGTAATATACTCATATTTGGGCTATACTGACGAAGGAATACACATGATCAAATAACCCTTGATTTTTTTTAAAAAAATCTCTGTACATAGAAGTTAGGAGGAGAAGAGTTCTGGGTTAGCCTTTGACATGCAGCATTTCTTTATTAAAAACTGCTATAACCCAGGCACAAGCTTATCACCTAAGCAACAGATGACAAGTGATGCATTTGCTTTTGTTCCTTTTCCTTGATGACTTTGTTTTTAGTTAAAAATCAGCCCTGGAAGCAGCAAGCAAGAGCAGAGGAGCAGGAAAAAAGTGCAAAAAGGAATGGGCTGTCCTTTCACACTGTTTATTCTCTCAAAAACACCACCTTCCTTCTCTTGGGCTAGTCACCTGACCGTAATAAATAAATTCTAATTCACCTTCCTTCTGTAATAGAGAGAAGAGATATTTACATCCTTTTCTCATTTTGCTTCAGGCAGAAAGGTGAGGGAGGAAGCCAGTTCTGAACAGAGGAAAGGTCTGAGCAGCACTTTTTCCACTATCAATCAGCTGCAGCCTCTGAAGGGGGCATTTTGTTCAGTAATATAAAAAAATGAGGGGATAGAATCACACAAATGAATACAACTCGCTGTTTCAGTGATAATATGGTCAGCATATGGCACAAAACCAATTACTGTAGCAATTATGACCTTTTAAGGCTGGGTTATGGGCCCTAAGAAATGTACCACATTGGGCTATGAAGCTTTGGTTTGAGGAATGCAACTAGATTTTCCCATAAATTTCTCTATCAACTTGTTATTAGGATTTCAGGCAGCAGATTAGGAGCTGGAATATTCATGGTCAAATACACTTTGAGCAGAAATCCATGACCCCTTGACATTTACTTGTAGTGTGTTCATAATATTTGAAAGGCTAAAAAGTGTTGAACACTAAAGCCCTTGTTTATACCTAAAATACATCATTTTATAATTTTATTTTTTGTGTTTTATGTGAATGCAAGCTGATAGCTAATTACCAACTCTCCTTGTTCAATCCAATTTTCAAAGGATACTGAGGAGTTTTTTCAGCAAGGATTATCCTCTCTCTTTCTGTACTAAGAACTCCATACTTCTAAGAATTTGTCCTTTTGAAATTATTTCATTTTGAATTTGTGTTCAAAACTTTTCAGAGGGGTAGTTGTGTTACTTCACAGCTCCAACAGCAGCGATTCTCAATTTTTTTGCCCAAGTTTTGAGCAGGGTAGTCTGAGGAATCTGGCACCAGACAAATGGGTAGGGAGGATGATTCCTATCCCTGTGCTAGATGAACTCTAATAGGTTGGGGATTGAAATCAAAAGGATCTGAAGGAACAGAAAGGCAAACATTTCTGAAAGAAAGCTTTGCCTATAATGGACCTAGAGCAAACCAATGCTGAACAGGAATGTTCAGAAATCAATTTAAGGAGCTCATATACAATTGCAGAGAAGGACCACATCTTCCTCCCACACCCACAGAGAACTAGTAAGTCAGAATTTAGCTTTGTTTTAGCAAACTTGTGGTTTGTCATCACATACAAACCCAAAATTACAGGTTAAAACAGGTTTTAAACAAACCAGAAAAACCTAGTGATTGTTCTTGGTTTATTTAGCAAATAACTACTATAAATTTCATACCATGATTCCTACTTCATAGTTAAAATAAACAAGAATCTGCTAAAATGGAGTAGAGTTCTGTTTTATTCCTGCTCAGCTACATGGGAAAATGAGGGGAGAATATCTCTTTTTGGCCACTACTCAGCATTACTTGCAAACACCATCATTGGATCAGATCCAACAAAAGCTTCCCATAAACAGAAAGGTTTTTTTCCATTTGCAGCAGTGAAATTGTACCGGTAGAAGAGGGAAAAGGACATTTAATTTCTTCCTCTTGACTACTGTCATACTTCCACCCAAGCGTCAGTTCAAGAGGCTTAAAGAAACTGCCCAAAAAGTGTAAAAGTTAAGAAAAGGGGCTGCAGAAGGAGATGGCAACCATCAAAAATTGTGACCCCCAATAGAGCAATAAAAACCAGAATGAAAATATTTTCCTTGCCCACCTCAAAAAGAAATAGCAGCAGGTCTAGGATACCATTACACCGCAAATATCTAAATGATAAATATACTGTTTCTATGTTAAATATATTTTCCAAACTCTTTGTCAGATGTAGCTGCCTTCATCAATGGAGTTTAAAAACACAATGTCTATAACGGCCCAACTGCTAATAGGCAATGAACACAGCATATGTTTCAATCCAACCCCCAAAGTCACCAGTCCATTTACTACCCTTCCTTTCAGTTTAGTTAAGGCTCAATAAGCTTTTCCCACCATCTGGTGCCCACAAGAAGAACTGCAGGCAAATATTTCAGTTTTCTTCTTCCTGTAAATATAGACATACAGCCTCTCATCTAAGATTTTAACAGCAACATAACTAGTAATTCTCTATTCTCTTGATGTGTCAAAATGCAGTTCCAGCAACAGAGCAAGACAGCATGGATGATCAGTTACATAGTAATTTTATGTTTGTCCCCATCTCCTAGAAACATAACACATCTTTGTTGTTTAGTCGTTAAGTCGTGTCCGACTCTTTGTGACCTCATGGACCAGAGCACGCTGGGCCCTCCTGTATTCCACTGCCATAACACACCTATTTATTTCAAATGCTTACATTCTTACTCCTTTAGTGCAGGAGTGGGACCATGCACTTATACACACACACCTCTCTCTGTGCAGACAATCTCATAAAGCACTGCCAAGTCTTTTCATGTCACTGGATATCTGACTAACTGGAGCTTCTCCGCCTGATATTTTGCTAGGGAGCCCAGACTTCTTGTCTTCCCTTTCCCCATCTGGGGAACTGGGGAAGAGAGCAAAGTATTTTCAGCCACAATCGCCAGCTCAGCACATCTCTTCCTCTTCACTAGGAGAGTAATATTCATGGGAATTCCCACCAATTTAAGATGGCAACAGTGGCAATTTAGTTCTTCTGCCCCTAGGTACAGCTTGAGGGCATGGGGCTTTGGGAGACTAACCCAGAAATCTCTGTATTAAACACCCACCAGCATTTAATACTGTAATTCCCTCTATCAACAGTATATTCACACTAAGGAACAGATCTTTCAAACAAACCCAAGAAACTGAGAAATTAGAGACACATAAGGATTTCCAGTCAACTAGTACTTCATATAGATTTTTGTAATCTGGAAACCCAATTTTAGAAATGAATATATTCAAGCAAAACAGGGTACAGTATTATGATAGTATCAAATTGCGAAAGAGTATGTTTTCTATGCTGCATTTTAAAAAGGACCTTCCAATGAGACTAGCGCTTAACACTATATTTCTAAGAATTTACACTGATTTCACTATGGCTAAGGTTCTCATTTTTCCTATTTGTTCTCAATATTCTAAATCTGGTCTGACTCTACAAAATTTATGAAAGCCCTTATGAAAAACACACACACACATTTTCTAATTTCCAAATCTGCCCTAACCATTTTTTTCTTTATATATTCATGTACAGGTGTCTAGTAGCACTCACATTTAGCATGTATTTTGGCCTGGGGAAGCTTTATTATTTTATCTTTAATGGAGAAACAGTGCCATGTTTTCTATTGTATTGATCATGCAAATTTCAAATGTCACTACTGTCAACTAAGTTATAGACCCTGATATTTGTTTTCTAGAGAAAAATAACATTTCAGTTCTTTGTGGGTTTTTTTGGCACTACTGAGGAAATCAGAAAAAGCTGCCACTCCCCCCAGCACCACCAAGGATACATCATGGACTCTGAACAACCAAGCAGGACTGCAAAACGAAGATCTACTTCCAACCAGTAGGTAATATTATTATTTTGGCTTTCATTTAGCTACAATTGGTTCCACCTAGTGGATAGACTACATTTTAGCTCCAATTTCCCGACGGGGACCCTCCAGGTTTTGTGCCGTCCTGTTCCCTGGCCAAACAGCAACTCACAGTTTCAAAAGAAGGCTATATGTTGGGGGGGGGGGGCAGAGAATACGCAAATTACATGGGAATTGTTTGTTTGAGGAGCTGGCATAATATCCAACCAGCAGCTGCCTGGGGTGTACTTTGAAAACCACATCTCCAATGCAGCCTACATTTTTCTAACTCACCTTTAAGAAGCAAGCCTGGCACAACTACCTGCCATGAATTTTTGGGACTCTCATTTATAATTAGAGATGGGCATGTCTTAAGTTGTGCTTCTTCGTACTTATACAGTGATGCTTCGCAAGACGAATGCCTTGTGAAATGAAAACTCGCAAGACGAATTTTGGTGACTCGCAAGACAAATTTTTCTATGGCCATGCTTCGCAAGACGAAATTTTCACAATATGAAATGACTCGTGGAATGAATTATTTTCGTCTTACGAGGCATCACTGTACATGAGTTATGATAATATACAGGGATAGATCCAAACTTAATCATATTCAGAACAACCTCATTGAAATCAAAACAACTGAAGTTAGTCGAAGTACAAATTAGGTCTGAACCAACACATAAGGGAAGAAAAACAGTTTTGTTAATGAAATAGGTCTCTCCGGCTTCTCATCAAAAGCAGAATACGGAATTCATCATTTTCTCCTTTTTTGGGTTTCAATTATCTGGTCGTTTTAGCTCAGAATATTTTCCCTTTCTAGAGAATAAAGGAAAGACCGCAGAGAAGATAAATAGGCTTCCAAAATGATAATTTAATGAAGGAATTATAGAAGATTAAAAGCAAAAGAGCAGATGTTGAGTGAAGGGAGAAAGCATTGCTTGTTCCAGCATGCAGCTCTTTCCACCACTGCTCTGCAAATCACAGGCTAGATCTTGCAAGCCATACTTGGGAAATTCCCTAGTGAGCTCAGAAAACTTTGCTTGCTACAGACCACCTCACAAACATCCACTTTTACATTTATAATTTATATGGCAACTAAAATCACATTCTTTGAAAACCAGTTATCTAGTAGAATGGGCATGCAGAAGTAAGGACTTCAGTGTGGCAAAGTGGCAAGAGACCAGAAGGCGGAAAAGTGAAAAGCTACATAAGTAAATGTGCCTACTATATTTATGATGCACCTGATGAAGGAGGCTACAGTCCACGAAAGGTTATACAAAATCAAAAAGTGGTAGCTTCTAAGGTGCCGCAAGACTCTTGGTTACTTTTACCATATTTAAGTCTCTGCTTTATCAGAGTATCTGATTATCTTGGGTGGCAACTGAAGAAATAACTGTGCCAGGCTGAAGCCCATATGTAGACTGAAAAAGCCAAACTAAAAGATTTGTTCACTCTTCAGCTTATACAGTGTATGTCTACCTCCTGTAGGTAATGAATCTATCACAGATTAGATGCTTTAGATAAATTATATTAGATGTCCAATAGTCTATGTCCAACTTCTCCATAATCTGTAAACATATGGGCAAATCACTACTTACATTTCCTTGTGGCATGTCTTCTTCGGTCATATACAGCAGCGGTTCCCACCCTTTTTGGGACTGTGGAATGGCTAAGCCTCTGAGGAAGGTGGGGCACCTCTCCACAGGCGCTCTTGGGCTCATGCGCGAAGCGGTGGGGGAGCATGCATGCGCCAGTGTGTACGCTCCCCTACGCCTTCATGCATGCGGAGTGCCTGCACGCCCATCCACTCACCCCTTCTTGCGGGTGCCCGGGCACATGTGTGAAGGGGTGGGGGAGTGCTCACACCAGCGCTGGCACGCATGTGCATGCGCAAAGCAGCTGTGGGGAGGGGAGTCCATGCGGAGGTGGCGGAGGGTCTGTCTCTGTGGCCCAGTCTGGCTCAGGCCACGAACCAGTACCGGGCCGCGCACCGGGGGTTGACGACCTCTGATATTCAGGACAGTTTTACTGTCTAAATCCCACTAAACTATAGCCTGTTCTATCTCCAAGATAACAACTAGAAATCTACTGATAATGGAATACAATATTTATAATGCAAAGTTGGCCATTTGGCAAAATATGGACGCCAATTCTTGAAATAAATTTTATCTAGTCACTAGGAGCCTTATGAAGTTTTAATCAAGGTACATTAAATGTGTTAACAGCTTTTCTAACTGGAAAAGAAATGTTTCCATTTAGAAACAGATTGTAACACCCTTTAAATCTCCCTCCGATTTTGCATGTAAATGCATCATTTGCATCTTTATGTGCAAGCACACACATGGTCAAACTTTTATATGAAATGCTTCAGCATAGATCTTCCAGTCTGATGAATGAGCTCTACTAGTTAGTGCCTGGTTACTGCTATGGAACCTATGTCAATTTGCAACATTTGAAGTGGTCAATTCGTGGAAAACCAACACAATTCTCCTCAAAGTGCTGAACAAGTACTGAGTTGTCCTCAGGTACTGGCCATCTTACTTCAGTACTACACAAGAAAAGCCAGGAGTTTCTGAATTTTAGCACTTAAATTTGATTTGTAAAAACAGACATGTTGGTTTTCAAATCAAACCAATTACTGGACCACATCTGTATTTATGAACAAATGTTTAGGTATAACGTTTTTGCAAATCTTAGATAAAGACATTATACACCCTCTATCAAGGAAAGTGCTAGAATTCCCCCTCCAATTCTCTAAGTCTCAGTATTAATCTATGAAGCACTCAGGCAACCAGAATTTTTTCATTCTTGACAATCATTTAAAATTTCTCAACTCCATGACAGATAATCTTTTCCAAGCTGTGCTATCCTAGGTTCAATGCAAATTCTGCAAATTCTCCTCAGCATCCAAGGTTTAGTCCCTCCCAACATGGCCAAGATTCACATAAGGCCTTCTAAGGATTAGAACAGCTGAAAACAGCAGTACCTTTTTCAGCAAATCGACCCTTAGAGTGGGATTGAAACCTGCGTAACCACAAATCTTTGTTACTTTTATGGACATTTTTGTAAATGAAAGATAGAGACTTTTTGTGCTGCTTTTGATGTAATCACAACAGTGCTAAAATTCATTTAAACTGTTTTGGACACATGCAAGATCCTAATCAGGTTATGATGAAACTCCAGAATACATATTTAGCATCTGCAGCTTTTTCCGCACATTCCTTAACTACTTCGCTGTGGCAGAGTTGAGTTCTTGATCATCAATATTATTTTAATGTTTCCAGTTTGCATCCCCAATCTGCAAAACTCAGGGCAAGGATCAAACAATAAAACCTTCAAACAAATCCTTTGGAGAAAGGGCAACCAAGCACTTCTTAATTAGGGAATAAGAAAATTTATGCAAGTCCACCCACCAAATTTGGTGCAATCTGAAGAAGGTGGATTCTCTGGGGAATTTTGACAACTTGTGAAAGCTCAGACAAAACGGTAACTGTCACTCTAGCCAGATTCACTTTATTCTGATTTAGAAACTAATATTATTTGGTAATTGTTTCCCAATCACTTATGACAATTACTCTGTATGTGTATGTGTGTTTTAGTATTGGAGTTTGTAATGTACTAGAGTGTGTTTGTGAATACACTGACTACCACACTGGACAAGCACACCACTCTTCAGATATGGCAGTGAAAATCTTTTTATGAGAGGTGCACATATTTGTGTTTTTGCACTACACAGCTATTGGCTTGCTCCCTGAGGGATTCTGGGAGTTGCAGTCCAAAAATACAAATGTGCACACCTTTACTGTTTACTAAAGTGAGAATTAACTCTTGACACAGAAACAGAGAAATCTCTGCTCCTTTCCAATAACGTATAGCATTCCTGGGAGCACATCACAAGACAACATATGATGCTGTCATTTTGACCTGCATCCCTTCCCTAATTAATTCTTTTCCTTTCAAATATTACTTGACATCTAAGCACTTTACCATTATAAAACGGTGACACTCTGAACTGGCTTTCTAAGAAATTGTAAGCTGTCAAAGAGAGAGTTACCTTCAGCAGGAAAGTTTTAGGCTTGGGTCCTCTCTTCTTAGGTCCGTACAACTCACGCTCGCGCTCTCTGTGGGAAGGAAAACAAATGATTTTAAGAAGCGCTGATTTCAAGAGGAAAAAAGGAAGAAAGAAAAGTTCCTTCTAAAAGAGTAACATTTTGATTTCTTTGCCACACCAAATAAAGCCATACCAACTTGTGTCTATTCCTTCCCTTAGCTTTCCAGACTCAATCTTAAACTCACTTTTGCTCAAAAGCAGCAATCAGACGGGAATCGAGGATGTTCTCTTCAGGTTCCCAAGTGCTGTACCTACAGAGACGCAGACAGGCACCGTTAAACAAGGAAAAGACAGAAAGGGAGAAAGAAAGAAAAGGCAGATACTAGTATAGACGAGGTTGAGGAGTTGTGGGTGGGTGTCTGAATGGAAAAATGAGAAAGAAAGCAAACCCTACAGGCACCGTGTGTCTGTGCACTCAGCGAAGGGACGCATAACATTAGCCCAGCGAGAGGCCCAGGAGGCGCGAACGGGGCTTCATGCAGGCAGAGAGAGAGAGAGAGAGATCAGAAGACAACTCACTTGATGGCCCAGCCTTTCCATTTCACCAAGTATTCGATACGTCCCTGCAAAATACGGGGAATTGGCAGAGAGGATTGGGGGGGGGGGGGGGGGGGGGGAAGCAAAGCCAAAAACGGGGGGGGGGGGGGGGGGGGGGGGCAAGGGGGAAAGGGGGGGGGAAGGGGC